ATGCTGCCTCTGTTAAATGTTGCATTTTGCCTATACAGCAGCATCAACCTTGAGAGCTCAGCCGTCCCTCTTATCGCCTGCTCAGAGACTGCAAAGACTCAGGAAGAGACCGCGAAAAAGCAAAGAAGACATGCTGCAAGAAGTGATGCGGCAATCTATTAAAGAGAATGAGAAAGCACAGGACTGGAGGGAGAGAGAAACCAGGATCCGCCAGGAAAACGCAGCGCACCGGCGGCAAAGCACGGAGCACCGGCAGCAAAGCACGGATCGGCTCATAAGCATCCTAGAACGCCAAGCAGACGCTATCCAGGAGCTCGTAGCCATGCAGAAAGAGGAGCAGTACCGCAAATCCAAACGCCACCCCCGCTGCAGCCCTTGTCCCAAAACTCTTTCCATTGTGCCCCACTGTCACCTCCAACCCACTTTCCCCAACTTCCGTGTTCTTCACACCACCCGCTGCCTCCAACACCAGTATCTTCACCACTCAGCCCTGAAAACCACGACCCTTAACCCTCTGCACTCAACCCCCATCACCATGCAGTATAGCTATCCTGAAGTGCAGCACTCACTGCACAGCACACCAGACAGGACATACGCGAATCTGTGATTGTACTGTTCCCCACTCCACCCCCTTGTTTCTTTTCAATAAATGAATTTTTTGGCTTTGAAAACATTCTTTATTATTGCATAAAGTAAAAGACTCCTTAGCCCAGGAAATAAACAGGCACTGCAAGTCTGTTTGTCTGCTTAGCAAACACTGATTCCTAAAGATTGGAACTACTGCACTTCACTCCCGTGCAGGGCACCAGATATCACTGCTGGTTTTCAGCCTCAAATTGCTCCCTCAAGGCATCCCTAATCCTTGCAGCCCCGCGCTGGGCCCCTGTAATAGCCCTGCTCTCTGGCTGTGTAAATTCAGCCTCCAGGTGTTCAACCTTGGAGGTCCATGCTTGAGTGAAGCTTTCACCCTTCCCTTCACAAATATTATGGAGGGCACAGCACGCGGATATAACTGCAGGGATGCTCTTTTCGGCCAAGTCCAGCTTCCCCTACAGAGATCGCCAGCGGCCCTTTAAACGGCCAAAGGCACACTCCACAGTCATTCGGCACCGGCTCAGCCTGTAGTTGAACCGTTCCTTGCTGCTGTCAAGGCTCCCTGTGTAGGGTTTCATGAGCCACGGCATTAACGGGTAAGCGGGATCTCCAAGGATCACAATGGGCATTTCAACTTCCCCTACCATGATCTTCCGCTCTGGGAAAAAAGTCCAGCCTGCATCTTCCTGAACAGCCAAGTGTTCCGAAAGATGCATGCGTCATGCACCTTTCCGGGCCAGCCTGTGTTAATGTCAATGAAACGCCCACGGTGATCCACAAGCGCCTGGAGAACCATAGAGAAATACCCCTTCCAATTAACGTACTCGGATCCTAGGTGGGGTGGTGCCAGAATAGGAATGTGCGTCCCATCTATCGCCCCTCCACAGTTAGGGAACCCCATTTGTGCAAAGCCATCCACTATTTCCTGCACGTTACCCAGAGTCATGGTTCTTCTGAGTAGGATGCGATTAATGGCCCTGCAAACTTGCATCATCACGATTCCAACGGTTGACTTTCCCACTCCAAACTGGTTTGCGACCGACGGGTAGCTGTCTGGAGTTAGCAGCTTCCAGATTGCAATAGCCACCCGCTTCTCCACTGGCAGGGCAGCTCTCAATCTCGTGTCCTTGCACCGCAGGGTGGGGGTGAGCTCCTCACACAGTCCCATGAAAGTGGCTTTTCTCATCCGAAAGTTCTGCAGCCACTGCTCGTCATCCCAGACTTCCATGACGATGTGATCCCACCACTCGGTGCTTGTTTCCCGAGCCCCAAAGTGGCGTTCCACGGTGCTGAGCATGTCCGTGAATGCTACAAGCAATTTCGTGTCGTACGCATTACGCGGCTCGATAGCATCATCGGACTCCTCACTCTCACTGTCACTTTGGATCTTAAGGAATAGTTCGACAGCCAAATGTGACGTGCTGGTGAGATAAGTCAGCATACGCCTCAGCAGTTCGGGCTCCATTTCCCGCAGACAACAGATCGCGCTGCACAGAAACCGTTGAAAGATGGCACCAAAGGTGGACGGAAACAAAGGGATTTCTGGGATGCGAAGCGATGCATCACGGGGCGTTGGGACAGGACCCAGAATGCCCCGCACCCACGTCCCCTTCCCACAACCCACGGCGCCAGAATGGGAAGAGGTGCTCTGTGGGATAGCTGCCCATAATGCACCGCTCCCAATGGCGCAGCAAATGCTGCAAATGTGGCCACAACAGTGCGCTGGGCAGCTGTCAGTGTGGACAGACTGCAGCACTTTCCCTACTCAGCTGTACGAAGCCAGGTTTAACTCACAGCGCTGTACATTCGCAAGTGTAGCCAAGGCCTTAGTGGGACTAGGTGTGAAGTAAGGCATGTGATCACATCCTCAAAGGAAAACTCCACAACACCTTCAAAAGGCGAGCCTGGGAATTTAAATTCAAAACGCTGCTAGATAACAAAAACCTAACAGGGACAGGGACATTGGTTTTATGGCTCATTACAACAATCTTTAACACACTACCCTGCCTGCTACCCTTAATTGCCCACTTCAAACCCAGTATGCGTAACAATCTAACCCTCAATTGCCCATTTCTAGTAATGGCCTACAACATGCATTACCCCTTATACTTAACAATCGATCCCAAACTGTATTTAGCTCAGACACTGTGATTTCCTTCCCCAGATCTGAAGAAGAGCTCTGTGTAGCTTGAAAGCTTGTACCTTCTAACAACAGAAGTTGGTCCAATAAAAGATTTAAAAAATGTATTAATATGATATTTTTAAAAAAGTGAATGGTACAGAGTTTAAGCATAGAAATTTCTGGTTATCAGGGAATAACGTACAGATTATAATCAATGGGTGCGAAGTTCGATTTAAGATTGGGTGGTATAAGGAATACATAATCAGCAATATCCCCTATTGGGGGGTAAAAGGTTAACGGGTCAAAGTACAGACATTGAGATATGAGGGTATGTTCTTCATATAATGGCTATGTTCGGGTGTGGAGTATAATGAGTGGGTATGATGATGAGGATGCATTGACCCTCATTTGGTGAGATTTAACGTTCAGTGAGTTTATGGTTCCAGTTCATATGGTCCAACGGAAAAAGTCTCTCAGTCCCTTTCTCGTAGTCGATGCATGATGTCGCTCCAGCTCATGCCTCCTGGTACTGTCGGTGGCCGGTGTAGATGTCCCTGGACCACCGGATGGTGTCAAGACCATGAGGCGCCACATGAGCCGTGCGTAGCGTCGACCGATCCCGCAGGTCCGCAGCACACGCTCGTTGCAGGGGTCCCAGGCACCCAGGGCTCCAACGATCAGGGCGTCCATCTGCATATTACCTCACCTACCTGATCTCTTTTTTTCCTTTGTTCCATGCAATACTCTATTTGGCCTAGAAAAAAATTCTGTTGAAAACAGGCAAAACAAAGATATATAATGGAAAAATAAAAGTCACAAACAGAATTGCTCAGTAGGCTACCATGAAAATGGAATGACATCAACAACGTATCATATTTATTATGTGTATGTATTGTGATAGCACCAGTCAGGACAAGGGCCTTATTGTAATGGAATTATACAGTCACATGGTAAGAGATAGTGCCTGCCCCAAGGTATTTATAATCTAAAGCCCCAATCACGCAAAGTTTACATGTTTAACTAAGCACGAGTCAGTCTATAAAGCCCCAATCCTATATATGCTTAACCACATGAATAACTTTTAAGATCTTGAGTAGTCCTACACTGACTTCAACAAGTCTACACATAAGTAAAATTAAACATTAATGTTACTTAGCACAGCAATGGCTTTCTACACTGGGCAACACAGCTGACCTAGGCCTAAACCTAGCAGCCCAGGACCCTGCTGTTCCTTTTGGAAAACCTGATTCTTACAATCACTCAGTTACCATAGGAACACTGCATCCACCCTTTCTAGATGAGCGGGTCCATCACTTGCAGGATCAAAGAGGAGTGATTACATTTAACGCAAGTTGCACGCCGCCTTTTTTGTGTCACATACAATGTCACAGCTGATAACTTACAAATCCCACATACAATTTAAAATTTTACCCCATGCAAACCCAAGCAGCCTATGAAGGCCAAGTAGGTGGCATCTGTGGCCCTGTCTACACTAGGGAAATCTGGGCCGTGTGTGGGGGGAAAGGGTGGCAATGAGCCAGGAAAGGCCACCACCCTGCCTGTGGGTGATTGGTTTGTATCACACATAGCACAGCAGAAGAAGAGGGGCTTGGGGACTGGGTGACGGCAGCGTGGGGGGGGGCGAGGGGCAGCTCACTGGCACGTGGGGGGGCTGGGGGAGCGCAGGCGACCCCGCCCCTGGCTTGTTCATTTCATGAGGGGGCGGGGCTGGACTCCTCCATGTCGCTGCCTCCCTCTGGTGCGTGGAAGGGGCGGGGCCGATCCCAGAGGGCCTGGGGTGGTTGATCGAGGAGGCGGTGCTCAGTCAAGGCGGGGGGAGGAGATGGAGCGAGGAGCACCGAGTTCATCCGTTGGCGGCGGTTGCGCGTACTCCTCCCCCCACCCGCTGAGGCGAAGGGGCGGCACCGCAGGGGACTCGGTCACTCGGCGTCTCGGCCCCGCCCCCTGGGCTGCTATACGGAGGAGCCACCTCCGCCTTGATTGGTTGCAGTAGCTCCTCCCCGCCTCACTAGGCACGTGAGTTATCCGGGCAAGGCGGGAGCCTCGATCCCGCTGCCAGAGCGGCAGAGGTGCGCGGGCTCCGGCTGCTCTAAGGTGCTTTCCCGGCCCTGGCGGGTGCGTCCGCGCGGCTTGGCCAGCGCGTGTCTGTGTCCGCCCCTCCCCCTTGCCCTGGCTCTGAGCGCCCCCCCGTGTCCGTGGGGCTAATGATGGGGGAGGCGCCTCTTAATGTCAGCGCTCTCTCTGTCTCCGTCCATGAGTCCCTAGAGCGGGGGGTTGGGAGCAGTGACGGGCAAAGGGGCATATTTGGACCGTTGTAATTCAAATGCATTGAGCCGTTCCCGCAGCCGGCACCGCGGCAGCTCTGACGCAGCCCTCCGGAAATGCCGGCCCCGGTCCCGCAGTCCTTTCCAGAGAGTCGGTCTGGCTCTGCCCAGCCTTGTTCCCAGGGGACAGTCTGCCCCGCCCCCTTGGCAGCGGGCTGGCCCCTTTTGGGTGCAGATAGGGCGCAATTAAAACAATAACGAACTTTTTTTGTTAATTATTCCAAATTTGGGTAACTTATTAATTCATTTGAAAATGAACGATGACCTGGGCGGGGGGGATTCAGGACCACCACTGCGTTCTGCGCCACAGGTCAGGGAGTCAGTGACACCGACCGGTACGATCCGGTGTAACCGCTGAGATGGCACCGTTACCATTTGTTAGAGGCGCCTTCCCAGCCCGGTGTAACGTTTTCAGGTATGTCAGCGATTTTGGAAAACGGTGGTTAGTTAACTTCTGTTCCTTTTGCTAGCACTTTGTCTAGTCAAAGTACAGAAATCCTGTCCGCAGATGCACTGAGTATCTATATAATTTCATGATGGGGAAATAGAGAAACTGATTTAGGGCCCATTTCCTCACTCGTCTGCCTAAGGCCTAGTCTTCACACAGATTTTGTATTGGTATTCTGTTGATTAGGGATGAGGGTTTTTTTTACCAATATATAGTTATACCAGTACAAATCCCTAGTATGTTTATGCTGGTATACAGGTGCTTATATCAGTATAGCTTAGTCCCCTTCCTATATGGGAATAAGCTATACTAGTATAAACAGATTTATATCAGTACGGTGCCCGCACTGTGTGTGTGTACTGCTTGAACTATATCAGTATTGTTAAAGAGGTACAACTTTTGTGTGTAGACAAGGCCTGTGTGTGTGCAAGATTAGGCCATAGAGTCTGGAAGATATTATACACCCAGTTATAAAAAAGTACATATCATAATTTTGGGGGGGGGTGTAAATTATATGATGGTTGTTTTCATAAGAGAAATTTCTGTAAATCTAATAACACAGAAAACTACTCTGTACTTTAAAGGATTTTAAGTAATGGCCCCTGGAAACAAATTCAAGAACTCTGAACTGATATTACTGTGTGAATGGGAAGAATGCCTTTTTGTAGGAAAATGTATGGAGGAATTTTGTGACCACATTGCAGAACACTTGAAAGAGTATCGACAACATCCTCTGGAAAGAACAGGTAATATATCTGTCTCATTCACCATACAGATAATATTGCAGTTTTGAAGATTTTTGTAGTTTGTGGCCCTGATCTTGCACTGGCACTTTGCTGGTAAAATGAAGTCAATAGGACTCTATGTGTGTGCTGGTGACTACACACCAGAGACACTTGCACGACTGGGGCCTATTTTTGTTTTTTTATTTGCATCTGATTTTGCTGGTTTTCTCTTTTTCTAAAGATACAGTACTAAAATTGAAATAATGCTAATGTAGCTGAAGTCATGAATCAGAAGTTTAAACTCAATTTCTTCTTGAATGAGGGCTAAAGTGTGGTGTGTGTTTTTTTTTTTTTAAATTGGTAGTCTCAAAAAAGAATTTTTGGATTTCTGGAACTTATGTGTTACTTAAGATTTCTAACTTTAAGGTGGAGATTGGAGAAATCAACTTAGAGGAAACTTGCCCTTTTGTTGTAACTGTTTTCTGTGAATAAATAAACAGTATTTACTTGCTCCTGTTATATATCTTGCATCTTTCTTCTAATGGTATTACAGTTACTTACAAGAAAACCTCAGAAGTTGTATCCCACAGAAAATTGTAAGCAGTCTATGTAGACTGTAATAGCAATAGTGTAGTAGATATTTTTAATATTGCTATTGTAGCTCTTATGAATCCTGACCTTTAGTCTTAACACTATTTTCACATGTTTAATTGCTGGTGTAAATACTAGACCGAGTTTAATTAAAGGTACAGTAAATGGAAAGTAAAATTGAACCAACAACAATATGCACTCAATGCCTCCTCTATCCAGACAGTATTTTAGCTCATACGTAAGTAAAAAGCTAATTTTTACAACATTCTGTATTGGTCCTCCGAAACCACTGGGCTTGTCCTGGGTTGCTTTGGTGCTCCAGAATGAATAATTCTATGATGTTACAACTGCGTATAACCTACTGGAGTACTGGGCATGAGAGACTCAAGTAATTCCTGTGTTAATTTTTGTTTTGTTGCCTTATTACGTGGGCCCTATCCTGCAATTGAATAGATGTGGGCAGATCCTTGCACCCACATGGAGTCCCTTTCAAATTTAGAACCTCTGCCAACTCACTGGATTGAAACAAGTAGGCAGAACAGAGTGATGACCGTGTGAAAGCCTGCAAACTAAAAATGCCAAACAGCCAGTTTCCGTATCAGGTATTCTTAACAATGTCCTTTTGAATTCAAGATTTGCACTGTCAAAAATCAAATATTGTGCAACACTCAAATATCCAAACCAAAATGATCAGAAACTCTTTTATCTGAAATAGAGAGATCCTCTTCTTTCTGTGCCTTGGAATTTCCTTTGTGTTTCTATACTTATTCATTGTTCCCATTACATTTGGATAATCCAGTTTGTACTATATAACTAACTACTCACGTGGGTTCAGGAAAGATTATTGAATAATTAAAAGTTTGGTTGGCTATTACAGGCTGGAGTGCAGATTGACTGTAAAATTTGAAAACACAACCAAGATTTTTGGAGCAAGGACTTGTCATTTGCTAAAAGTCCAGTGCCTAAGAATCAGGCCTCAAGTCTTTACTATTATCATTTATATTGTGGTAATGTGTGATCAGTTATATGCAGTGTTCTTGTAGCCATGTTGGTCCCAGGATATTACACAGACAAGGATATTACTTCGCCCAACTTGTCTTTCTAATAGTAAACAGTAACACTGTACAACCATTCAATAGACCTTACTCAGACATTCTAAGTCCAGTGCTCTCTTTCTGGGGAAAATTTCACTAGAATTATGAGTTTTGAGAAGGTGAAAAATCTTGTTCATTGCTGAGGCTTAAAATCTTTAGATACTTAATTATCTGAACATAGCCGGTATCCGTCACTCTACTAGTTTTACCGATGGTTCAGTAGATCCTCACCTAAAATGTAAGTAATAGTTATCTTCTGGTACCTTCTTGAAGATTGTCTCACACAGTTCCTAACTTAATACAACATTCCATGAAACATTATTTCTTTTTTTTGTGTTTAGAGCAGTACCATTGTTGGTGGAGAAATTGTGAATTTTTGGCTACAGGTCCCAGGGAGCTGGTAACCCATGTAAATTTTCATAGTTACCACACCAAGTTGAAATTCTTAGGCTCTCAGTTAAGGGCATCACACCAAGATTGGCCAGCATGTTCCCAGAACAGCCATAACCAGAATCAGATACCAAGGATTTCAGAGATGTATGTTTGCCAATGGGAGAATTGTGATGTAAGTGAAATGAATGTTGTTTCTTTTCTTGTCTCCTAACTCTACCTTAACCTTCCCCAGTTCCAGCACCTGGAAAAGAGAGGTTTCACTACTGAATTTTGTTTTATTATTTATTATTGAGTGTTGTTCCATTCCATCTTCATAAGTAGAAATGGTAATTATTGTGATAGTGTTTGCCAAAGTATATACTGTATATAAACACCATTTATTTTAGCATCTGCAACCAGTTTACTTTAAATCCAAGTATTCTTCCTTTTGTTAGAACTAAAATGACTTTTTTCCCACTGCACTGCTTTTTCTGTGTTTTAGAAATATATCATACAAAATTGTAACGTAACCAGAAATATTCTAAGCTAATGAATATGCCATCAACCTAATTAAGAAACCCACTGTATTTACTTTGACCATTTTCTGGAACAAAAATTAGACAAGAATATCTGATATTTTCTCTCAGATATTTGCAGCCTTTTAATGATTCTGAAATTGGATGGCTCAGAGGATTTGTTAATGAGCCTTTCATCTTTAGGTCACTAATTCAAATCTGATATAGCCTAGGAGCAACTGAAAAATGTCAGCTTCTGACAGCTCTTTGGTGGAATATGTAAAATTAATTAGTGGTCTCCATCCAATTCCTAGTGGACAATGTCTGTATCAAGAGTTGTTTGCAGTGTTGTTGTACCCATGTTGACTGTTGAAGAGCTCTTTGAAAGCTTGTCTCTTTTCACCAGCAGAAGTTAGTCCAATAAAAGATATCACCTCGTCACTTTGTCTTTCTGTATCAAGAGAACAATTACATTTTACACCAATTAATATCCTTTTTGCCAGTGTTAGAATAGTTGGTAATGACTGAATGGGCTCTGAAACTAAACTACCTTTTGCCCCTTAGAAGTATTCATCCTAGCAGTGTGGGACCATATTGGTAGGGCAGCATGGGGAAGCATTGTGTCTGTCATCTTTGGCCCCCTAAACTCAGTTCTTGTCAGTGGGCATTCTCTTTGCATCCATTGGGTTGAAGCCCTGCAACTGATGCTCCATCTGGAAGAGACTCCTTAGGCATGCCCTTTAGATTGAGAACACTGAGCAAGGTAGGCTTCAGACAACCTTCCTTCACTACTACCTCTTTTTAAAGGTTGTTGTCTCCCCTTCCCCCCCGGTTGGTTTTCATGAAATTTACAAACATCAGTCTTTGACTCAAATAGTTTAATAACAAATAAGTAAATTAAGAATAGAGAGAGAATCAGATTAAAACAAAAGACTTGGCATGCAGAACACAGAAACGCTATGAAACTCTCTCTGCAAATCTCATCTAGATAGGTTCACTTCAAGTTTAATTCTACAGAATTAAAAACAAGCAGATGCTTACATTTCAAGAAGAGCTCTCTCTCCCCTTCCCGCCCCCCACTCCTTTGGCCTTTCAAAGTCACATTGTTTCAGGAGTCTCAAGTATGTTTTTCCCCCCTCCCCGCTTTCAGTTGTTTCTCATTTGTGACCATTTTTCATTTTGAAGGTGTGCCAATTCTGGTTGCGGGTACAAACAATTATCCTGATTCTTCAGTGAAGTCCATGAGATGTACCCCCCATGGACCTCACTGGTGCTCTGCAGAGGCACAAAGGTCTGCCTACATGGAGCTCATTGCTGAATTTAAGCAGTGTAATGTTTGAAAAAATGTACTATCTTGAGGGAGTGGAATAGTTTCCATTCTCTGTATAATGTTTCTATTAACATTCCCCTTATCTAGCACTGGAGGTATTTCCCAATTTCTTCTCTCAAGATGTAGTATTTCACAAGCCCTTTGATCTTAGTCTGCCTAAAGGGTGACTGGATCCTGGTCTGTCTCTCCTCTGAGATGTTAACCTAGAAAAAAGCTCATTTGTTCCTTTGGCTCTGAATTTAAAGAGACAGTGCTCATATAATTCTTCGGTTTCTCTCTTCATGTCAATGCATTTCTACATCAAATAAGAATTATTGACAGATTAGTTTTAGTCTGTCACAACAACCTCTACCTGTATAAATAGAGGATTTTAGTCACCAGGGCCTGGATCTACAAAGGTACTTAGGTGCCTAACCCCCAGATTTAGGTGCCTGTATAGCATTTTTAGGCACCACTGTGATTCACAAAACCCCTGCTTGGCTGCTGCCTAACCCTGTAGGTACCTAAAGTCACTCAGCATCTAAATTTTTGCAGTAAAAGTTACTTAGGTGCCTATGTTTTTGCCTCTGGGCAAGCACATTTGGTGCCTCATTGTAGGTGTTCATGTATTCCAAGGCCAGAAGGGATCATTGTGACTATCTAGTCTGAAAATTATTGGTACAAGTCCTTAATGACAATTGAAATCACAAACCCTGGTTTATAAGGCCAGTGCTCTGATCCAGGTGCTAGAGGACCATTATGGTATGGATGCCTTTCTGCCATCTAAGCCTCCACGTGAATCATGACTTAGGAAGATAGGCATCCCTCTGACTAAATTGCATGTGGTGCTCAATCCAGTAAGCGTGTTCATAGGCCACCTAACTCCACACCAATAATGGGGGGTTGGCAGGTAATGAAGGAACCTTTTATCTTTATCCCAGTGGTTAGGGCACTCACCCAGAATACTGGAGGCCAGCAGTTTAAGTCCCCACTGAACTGTAATGATTCTCACTCTTTCTCTGGCCAAATTAATATTCAGTTATTTAAAGTAGAACAGCTTCAAAAGGAAAGAATGAGGGAGATCCACATGAGAATTGTCTAGTGATTAGAACATGCACCTGAGAGGAGGTAAATCCCTTGTTCAAATACCTTTTCACTGGGCAGAGGCAAGACTTGAACTGGGGTTCGCTCCCTCCCACCCACAGTGTTTCTGTGCAGAGTTGGTGGCCTCAGAGCATGTCTGCCAGATCAGGCCCCACGTGTGACTTAGGCAGAGGAATGCCTATCTTCTCCCAGTTGTGGATCACAAGCAGAAATAGACACCTCCCTGCAGCACAGAATTAGACACTTATCTTCATGACAAGGGTGAGGCTTGGATCCCCTCTCACTGGCATCTCCCATTGACTAGCTTAAGCAGTTCTGCGCCTAGTGTGCTGAGTTTTGTGGGTGGCCTTAGGCACCTATCTCTCCCCATTCATTGTATAGGAAGCCTTAGGTGCTTAACTCAGGGTTTGTGGATCACAGTGTTGTTCTTGTGGTTTTCTAGGCACCTAAGTCCCTTTGTGGATCTGGGCTCAGTGTATGAAATATAGAACCTTTCACAAACATTAATTTCTCTTTAAAATTAAAAACCAAAACAGATACAGTAATTAATTATATCATAAGATAATTGGTTGTATAGCTTGACCTGCAGGTTCCATTTCCATTGAGCCCCATAACTTATGGAAGTTACTTTTCCCACTGTGATTGTTGTTTTTAAAATATAAAGGTTTAAAAAAAAAAAGTCCTTGTGTATGTACTTACTAGAAGTGATCTTGCATGTTGCTAGGCCTTTAATTTTAAGAAATACCAATAAAACTCAGATCTCACATTTTTTCAGGCCAGGAATCAAGAGCCGCCCTGGTTGTGCATGTCAGGAAACCTGTTCTCTTTTGTAGAACATGTATTTAAAAAAACCTTTAACATTTATGGGAGTTGTTCTGATGGGGTAGTAACTTCATTTTCAGTTAGCATATAATCAGTTTTTATGGTAATTGGGGTTTTTTGTATGGTTTTCTTCACTTATTAAGATGAAATATGCCCTTTAATTTTATTTCTTTCTATATGTAGCACTTTGCTAAATATTTCTATACATGTTCCTTCAAGCTTAAACTGCTGTTATGAATTGTATTAATTAAAATAGTGTTTCCCAACCTGGTAGGCAGGCTAGACTAGTCCAGAAAGGTGGGGTAAGATGCAAAACAAAAGAGAGAGAGGGGGCAGGGAAAGCTGCTAACCATTTCCACTCCCATAACAACGGATAAAGTCCTCCTTGAAAATCACCCATTTTGCTTCCCAGCTTCTGTGGTGGCTCCTAATGTATCAAACTGCAGATCGACTCAATGGTACAAGCCATCTGGCTCAGGCAGCAGCCCTTAAGTTTCTCTCTCTCCTCCACTGCAGCAACACTTAAATCTAAAGTTACTGAGATGATGTGCCACTTATGCCCACTCTGAGCAACCTGCACTCAGGGTCGGCTCCAGGCACCAGCTTGGCAAGCAGGTGCTTGGGGCGGCCCTCCGGAGGAGGGGCGGCAGGTCCAGCTATTTAGCGGCAATTCGGCGGACGGTCCCTCACTCCGCTCGGAGCGAAGGACCTTCCGCCGAATTGCCGCCGCAGATCGCGATTGCGATCGCGGATTTTATTTTTATTTTTTTTTGGCTGCTTGGGGCGGCCAAAACCCTGGAGCCGGCCCTGCCTGCACTAGTAGGTTTCTGGTGAGCGAGAGAGTGTAGGGGGGAAGCAAAAAGACAAGGAAAAAGAGAGAATCTAGGGGAAAAGGAGAGAGAGAAAAACAATTTTAAAAAATGAGACTAGGTAAAGAAATATGGAGAGTCAGTGACAACTATACCAGGGCATGGTACGATGGGATGGTGAGGGCTCCTATTTGCTAACCCATCAGAAGAGGGGGCTTCCAACAATAGAAAAGTCGGGAGCCACTGGACTAAAATTGACTGACTGTATCTTTAAGCTACTACAGCAGAGATCAGCAACCTTTGGCGCGCGGCCTGTCAGAGAAATCCGCTGGCAGGTCGGGACAGTTTGTTTACCTGCAGCGTCCGCAGGTTCGGCCGATGGCAGCACCCACTGGTCGCGGTTCGCTGTTCCAGGCCAATGGGGGCTGTGGGAAGCAGCGTGGGCCGAGGGATGTGCTGGCTACCGCTTTCCGCAGCCCCCGTTGGCTTGGAACAGCGAACCGCGGCCAGTGGGAGCTGCGATCGGCCGAACCTGTGGACGCTGCAGGTAAACAAACCGTCCCAGCCTGCCAGTGGATTTCCCTGACGGGCCGCGTGCCAAAGGTTACCAATCCCTGTACTACAGTTAAGGCCAAATTCAGGATCTGGTATATATGGAAGCAACTCTGGTATGTTCAAAATTAGGGCTGTAAAGCAATTAAAAAATTAATTGCGATTAATCGCACTGTTAAAGAGTAATAGAATACCATTTATTTAAATATTTGTGGATGTTTTCTACATGTTCAAATATTTTGATTTCAATTACCACAGTGCTCACTTTATATTATTATTTTTAATTACAAATATTTGCACAGTAAACAAAAGAAATAGTATTTTTCAATTCACCTAGTATAAATAATGTAGTGCAATCTCTTTATCATGAAAGTTGAACTTACAAATGTAGAATTATGTACAAAAAATAACTGCACTCAAAAAACAAAACAATGTAAAACTTTAGAGCCTACAAGTCTACTCAATCCTACTTCTTGTTCAGCCAATCGCTCAGAAAAACAAGTTTGTTTACATTTGCAGGAGATAATGCTGCCCGCTTCTTGTTTACAATGTCACCTGAATGTGACAACAGGTGTTTGCATGGCAGTGTTGTAGCCAGTGTCACAAAATATTTACGTGCCAGATCTGCTAAAGATTCATATGTCCCTTCATGCTTCAACCACTATTCCAGAGGACATGCATCCATGCCGATGACAGGTTCTGCTTGATAACAATCCAAAGTAGTGCGGACCGACGCATGTTTATTTTCATCATCTGACTCAGATGCCACTGGCAGAAGGTGGATTTTCTTTTTTTGGTGGTTCAGTTCTGTAGTTTCCGCATTGGAATGTTGCTCTTTTAAGACTTCTGAAAGCATGCTCCACACCTCATCTATCTCAGATTTTGGAAGGCACTTCAGATTCTTAAACCTTGGGTTGAGTGCTGTAGCTATCTTTAGAAATCTCACATTTGACAAAACGCAAAGAAGGTACCAATCTGAAGTGAAAGTGTTCTTAAAACGAACATGTGTTGGGTCATCCGGAGACATACAGTTCTCCCCCAAATAGTTCAGTCACAAATTTAATTTGTCATCAGCATGGAAGCATGTCCTCTGGAATGGTGGCCGAAGCATGAAGGGGCACACGAATGTTTAGCATATCTGGCGTGTAAATACCTAGCAATTCCAGCTACAAAAGTGCCATGCAAATGCCTGTTCTCGCTTTCAGGTGACATTGTAAATAAGAAGTGGGCAGCATTATCTCCTGTAAATGTAAACAAACTTCTTTTTCTGAGCGATTGACTGAACAAGAAGTAGGACTGAGTGGACTTGTAGGTTCTAAAGTTTTACATTGTTTTGTTTTTTGAGTGCAGTTATGTAACAAAAAATCTAAGTTTGTAAGTTGCACTTTCACGATAAAGAGATTGCACTTCAGTACTTGTATGAGGTGAATTGAAAAATACTATTTTTGTTTATCATTTTTCCAGTGCAAATATCTGTAATAAAAATAATATAAAGTGAGCACTGTACACTTTGTATTGTGTGTTGTAACTGAAATCAATATATTTGAAAATGTAGAAAAACATCCAAAATATTTAATAAATTTCCATTGGTATTCTGTTTAAACATGCGATTAATTTTTTTAATTGCGATTAATTTTTCGAGTTAATCGCGATTAATCGACTGCCCTATTCAAAATTTCTTCAATAGATGAGGCACCACTTACTCTGATAGAAGTGATTTCTAGAGAATTTACACAATGTGTTTTGTTTTTGTCATTTGATTTCCTGCCAACACTATCCATCATCTTCATGGTTCCATTTTGTCCTCAGGTTACCTACAACAACCCAGAATGGTTTTATCGGCATGTTGCCATGCATGCATACTCTACTAAGAAAGAAAACATTTCAAGTAACAAGAAAGCTATTTGTTGTTGTCACTGGAAAGGTAGCTCACGTTCTATATTTAATTTACAAAATATGGAATATTGCCCTAGTAATTTCAGTGCCGCTATAAAATTTACTGAGTATTTCATGAAGCACAGGAATATGTTAGATCTCTTCATACAGCCTTTTTCCAGCCATCTTAAATAATTAAAGTACTTTACCTACATTGTATGCTCTTGATTAGTTTAAGTGGTTTGCACTAGCAATGCCAAATCACTTAATTAAAAGCCTAGTATGCCAGAGTCCAATCCTTCAAGGTTCTGAGCACCCTCAATTCCCATTTGACCTCAGTGGGAGTTGAAAACTTTCAGCACCCACAGGCTTGGGGTCCTACACTGAAGGAATGTTTTTGAGCTTAGAGTAGCAATGTTGCTGCCCTAAAACTTTTTCACACCAATGCAAAAACAGTAATTTAATGGGCGTTCTGCACATAACTTCAATGGGAATTTTGCCTAAGCCAGTAATCCCCAAACTGGGGGGCACGTCCCACTGGGGGGGCATGGAGGAATGTTTAATGGGACGCTTGGTGGGGCCCAGGCCAGCCCCCACGGGGTGTGGAGGGAGCACCATCCAGCCCCGCTCTGCCCCCAGCCTAGCTCCAGCCCCAGCTCCGTTCTGCCCCCACTCCAGCTCCAGTCACAGCTTCACTCTGCCCCCATCCTCAGCTCTGCCATCAGCTCAAGCTCCTCTGCTGAGGAAACCTTGGCTGAGGAGTAATGGAGCAGGGGACGCAGACAGGAAAAGTTTGGGCAACAGTGGCCTAAGCCAAAGCCCACTGAAGTCACTGGGAATCGTTCCATTGATTTTTTTTTTTAGTAGGCTTTTGAACAGGCCCTGTGTAGCATTTGCAGAACTGAACTCTTTGTAGTGTTTGCAGTAGTAATGTTCTGACTTTTCCTAAAAACATTTTAGTTGTGCTCCTCTAAAAATATATATAGTCCACCAATACAATACAATCTTTCCTGTTTGTACTCGAGAAAATAAAGTGCTCATGTGCAACTGTTCTGTAATCTTATATAGTATGTGTGTTTAGATTGTTCAGGAACATTTAAAGGAAAGCACAAGCTATGGGATCACTTAAGAACCCACACTCAAGAAAGAGTGGTGGCCTGTCCCTCTTGTGGAGCGATGTTCTCCAATAATACCAAGTTTTTTGATCATGCCAAGCGACAGGTTTCAGAGGATCGTAAGTGGATTTGCTCTATTTCTATTTACATTTATTTAGGGATTTACTTTTGAGCTGGTTTATAACAGTACATATATAACACCTATTATTATTTTTCAGAAGTGTCAATTAAATGCAAAATTGACTTTAGGAAGGAAATTATCTTCCTGAAGCATGGAAGTACTTTTGGCTTTGCAATGATTGCTTGATATAAATGATGAATTGGGGTAATGGGGGAAAGAGAGAGAGCACTCAGATGCATATTTAAACATAGTGGCTTTCCACCTGACAGTTGTGGCATTCCATTGTAAAAATAGAGATTGCCTCTGACTCCATGCCCATGGCTTCTCAGGGCAACTGCATTCCATTGGAACAGTGAAACCGATGACCAATAGGAGAAGCTGTTGAATGCCAGAGACAGAACTCTTACAGGAGCTGGACTTAAATTATGGAATTCACTTCTGAAAGTGATCTGAATGATCATGGAACTAACCACTTTCAGAACTAAATGCAACACTGTCATAACTATAAAGGGAAGGGTGGCAGCTCTCCTGTGTACTGTGCTATGGAATCCCTCCTGGCCAGAAACTCCAATCCTTTTACCTGTAAAGGGTTAAGAAGCTCTGGTAACCTGGCTGACACCTGACCCGAAGGACCAATAAGGGGACAAGATACTTTCAAATCTTGGGGGGCGGGAAAGGCTTTTGTGTGTGCTCTTTGTTTTAAGGGGTGGTTCGCTCTTGGGACTGAGAGGGACCAGACATCAATCCAGGTTCTCCCCATCTTTCTAAACAAGTCTCTCCTATTTCAAACTTGTAAGTAAAAAGCCAGGCAAGGCGTCTTAGATTTACTTTGTTTTCTCAACTTGTAATGTACCTTTTACTAGAGTGTTTATCTTTGTTTGCTGTACTTTGAACCTAAGACAGAGGGGGGTCCTCTGAGCTCTTTAAGTTTGATTACCCTGTAAAGCTATTTTCCATACTGATTTTACAGAGATGATTTTTACCTTTTTCTTTAATTAAAAGCCTTCTTTTTTAAGAACCAGATTGATTTCTCCTTGTTTTAAGATCCAAGGGGGTTTGGATCTGTGTTCACCAGGGAATTGGTGAAAGGTTTCTCAAGGCTTCCCAGGGAGGGAATTCTTAAGATGGTGGCAGCGGACCAGAGCTAAGCTGGTAGTTAAGCTTAGGAGTCCTCATGCAGGCCCCTACGTTTGTACCCTAAAGTTCAAAGTGGGGATACAGCCTTGACAAACACTCTCTTGAGCTTAGATTTTACTCAATATGTTCTTCACTGCAGCACATTCTCCTACCACCCTTTCAACAAACTATAAACTAATCAGGATATTTTTCCTACAGGCCAGGAAGGAAGAGAGAGATTTCTTTTTTTTTTTTTTTTTAAATACTTGGAAAGTGCTCAGGTACTATGGATGCTATGGTAATGGGGTCTATATAAGTACTCAAACCATAAAGCTCGAAAACTTGGCAGGTTAAAACTGTTAATATTTTTTAACAGATTGTTGTCTTGTTAGGAGTGAAATTAATATATTGCTAATTAAAATTCTGCAATTACCCTAAACCAGATTTTTTCTGAAAAACATCTGGAATACAAAATAATACTGAAATTGTCCCACTACTGTGACAGTTTAGTGATCAAATTGACAACCCTAATCTATGTGTTTTAAAAATAGATCAATAAATATCAATTGCATCACTGATCAGTTCCCATTAAATTTCAGAACAAGTATTTGTTTGTCAGAATTGTGACAAACACTTTGCCAATGAGAGGTTACTACGGGACTATATGAGAGGACATGGTGAGTCAGAGCTTTTTAAAATAAATGTTCTACTAAACTAGCACAACCATAGATAGATGATGATAATATTATTAAGATATCTTTTCATATGTCAGCTGAGAGAAGCAGTATACAGACTCAAGGCAATTATGATACAATTGTGGGGAAACAGAAGTCTTACTATCAGATAGATAGTCCATATGAGATGGTTTTCTCCTCTTCGCATGCCCACTTGTTTAGGACTTTCTCCTCTTCGTGTCCTCACTTGACTACAAAGTTTGAATATTACAATTCCCTCTTAGGGTTTGTCTTCATGGGGAGGTTATTCTGGAGTAAGAAAGAATATAAATTTAAAGTGCTAAAGCTATTCTGGAATAAGAGTGACTATCTGTAATTTAGTTTAATTAACTTTCCAAGTGGATTAAGCTCAATAAGAAAAGGGCACTCTTGCTCCGGGATAAGAGTGTCCATATGTGGAGCTACCTAGCAGTAGCTAATGAGGAATAGCTTATTCTTCAGTTGCTATTCTGGTCTATTTCCCCATCCAGACAAGCGGTTAGCATGAGCACATTATGCCAACCGTACATATTTTATATTGGCTGCCCATAAAGCATCAGATTATAAAATGACACACTTCTTTAAACTCCCCACCAAAATGTAGATCCTGCCTACATTCAGAATTTCCTGTTGCATGCACTCTCACAACATCCACCTTTTACGAATTCCCACCATTGTGCCATAAGCAAGTAGGCAATTAGGCCTTTGTTTTACTAGGCCCTAGAGAGTGAAACAAACTCCCCCTTCCCCTCTGAAATTTGTCTCTCTCTCTCCATCTACGTTTTGAAAATACCTCAAAATGCTTTTTCACGTGCATGTTTATTAGAATGCCCACTATTTGGCCCATATTTATTACCCCTCTGTTCTCTTTCTTTTCCCCCCCCTTTTTTTTTCTTATGCATTGTATACCCAAATTAGCGTTAGTTGTTAATTTTAGTGTGAATGGGTTTTTCTAAATGTTTTTATCATATTGCACCACAGACTGAGTGTCTTGGCAAAGGAGTGACATAGAAATAAAAGTATTATTATTTCTCCAGTTACCCATGTTACATGTCCATTTTGTGATACGGTATGTACAAGTGTCTCCTCTCTGAAAGCGCACATCAGATTCCGACACTGTGATGAACGCCCTTTCCACTGTGATCTCTGTGAGAGTAGGTAAGAAGATTTGGAACTCTTAGCTAATCAACAGAAGTGTGGAAATAATTCAGTGTTCAATGAATGTAAGAGGTAACAAAAGTAAGAAAAACATTCAGCCCTTAAAATAGCAACCCTTAGCTCAAAAAAATAAATAAGTAGGTAGACTGATCCATTGGTCTGCTGGAACACATAAAGGCACTTCTTGAACTTATGGTGGAAGTAGGAATGATACTTTGTTTCTAGTGCCAAAAGATGTCTTCCGGGTAAGACTATGCATACTGTAAGAAAAGGTCATCAATGATCAATTTAGGCCATATTTAGCAACTATTTCCCCCCTCAGTGGGTCAGCTACAAGGGTTACTGGATATTTCTGTGAGAGCCAGATGCTCCTCTTCTGAATTGTCCTCTTGCCGCTGGATCATTTTACCCATTTCCTCTCAGCTACCTCTATTTTTCCACTCCCCACTTGAGTCTCTAACTTCCTGGTGGCTCTCACAACCTTCTTTACTTTTTCCAGTTCAGTCAAAGGGAACACTGACGGTGGCATCACTGATGGAGCAAAGGGAGGAAGACTTAATGATTTAGGACACTTATGTACATAGGCAGGGGCCGAAATAAATAGGGCCTTGAAAGGGAGGATAAGAAGTTTAAACCTGATGCAGGGATGGATTCCAGGAGAGGTCAGATAAATGGATAACACTTTCATGTGCATGTTTTAGGTAGACTGGAGGGAGTAATATGAATATTTGAGGGACTAGAGCGGAAGAAGTTGCTCTTATTATGACAACATTTGATCAGTGCATGGACAAGAGTTTTAGAGGACAGAGAGGCGTGTATGGATCATTGAAAAGTTATTGTGGAAAAAGTGGCAAGATTTGGACGTAGCCTGGATGCCTAGGAAGAAAGTAGAATCAGAGATTACCCTCAAACCATAATAATGAGAATGTGGAAGTATATTCCCACTCAGGTTTGGCCCAGCTATCATGACAGGAGTCTGGGTAGACCAAATTTGAGTGAGTGGCACTGCAACCCTATGAGCCAGATCACAACTCCACTCAGACAAATTTGGCCCAATCAGGGGGGCAGGGCCAAACTTGAGTAACGCTGCAATCCCTGAGGTTGCAAAGCCTGGAGCTGAGAGCCAAACCCAGCAAGCCCCACAGCACAGGTGCTGCCACTATGAGGTGAGTGCTGGGCAGGACCCAACCCTCCCCTCCCCCAGGTGGGGGGGCAGGATCCAACCAAAACCATCCCAGGGCCTCCACCCTCAGAGTATTTACTGGGTTGCAACAGGCCATCAGAGCCGGTGTAACCACTAGGCGAACTAGGCAGCCGCCTAGGGTGCCAATATTTGGGGGCACCAAAAAGCAGTGCCCCAAAAAATTTAACACTACAGTGGAGTGACATCTTACACGGGGGTTAGGTTCTAAGGTCAGCGCATAAGAGGAAAATCGTGTATAGTGAAAATTACCATAAAGCACAGTACACGTTAGTCTCTAAGGTGCCACAAGTACTCCTGTTCTTTTTACAGGATACACTGTATACACTAGAACAGGGGTCCTCAACCTACGGCTCGCGTGCCAAAGGTGGCACGCGAGCAGATCTTTTTTTTTTAATGGCAGGTTGCAGGTCCCGGCGGCCGCTGAACCCGCTGCCAGTCTGAGGTTCCGGCCGCCGGCTCCTGCCAGCCTGGGTCCCGGCCGCCAGCCCGCTGCCGGACCCGCTCAGCCCGCTGCTGGCTGAGTGAACGGAACCCCAGGCCGGCCGCAGGCTCAGCGACGGCCGGGACCCGCAGCCTGCCATTTAAAAAAAAATCGGCTCGCGTGCCGTAGGTTGAGGACCCCTGTTCTAGTGTATACAGTGTATCCTGTGTATACTGAGTGTACTATACTTTATGGTAATTTTCACTATACGTGATTTTCCTCTTACGCGCTGACTTTAGAACCTAACCCCCGCGTAAGATGTGACTCCACTGTATTCATTTTTGAAAGTTTATAATAATAGATGCTCCGGGGGGAGGGCAGGGGGAGCGGGGGCGCAAGGTGGAAGTTTCGCCTAGGGCGCAAAATATCCTTGCACCGGCCCTGCAGGCCATAAACATTTAAAAAGGGGTCCTGAGCCCAAAAAAGTTGAGAACCACTGTACTAGACCACACCCTCTCTGCTATTATTGCTGTTATTTGAACAGTAAAAGTAATTTGTTTCACCTATATGCTCCTCAGTTTTAAGAATGCTTATGATCTTCATAAACATGTTGAAACACACGATTCAAATGCCTACAGCTGTGATGTAGAAGGATGTGTTTTTACTTCACGGACTTCACAGATCTTGAGACAGCATTACAAGAGAGCACATATGGTGGGTATTAAAAGAGTAGACGGAAGCATCTTTTAATAGACAATAGGGGCTGATTTTCAAAATGCATGTGTATGTCAAAATACCTGCCTTGTGCTTGCATCTAGGCTATTTGGGTGCATAAATTAACTGTACACAGTTGCATGTTCCCAATCTTGAAAACTGGGCCAATATCATGTTTTTCTTTCCTGTAAATCAACAAGCCATTCCTATCCTGAGAAGCAAAATATTTGAAGGAATATATTTCTGTGTCAATTTACTGCACTCTGTCCCTAGAACTAGTACAGCACACGATAACAGAACTAGAACTGGTACATATTTATTATGTGGTTTTTGAACTTGTCTGAGTTCTAATCAGGGCCAGGCAAACGGGGCCCAAGCCCAGGGCGCTGTAGCCAGGGGGTTGCCATAAGGGGCTTGGGCTTCCCCTGGCTGGCTGTGGCTGGACTCCTCTCTTCTCCGGTCCCTCCCCCGTGCCGCCCCCCTGCCCCGTCCCACACTCTACTCAGCCATGTGGCTGAGGGCCCCGGCTCTGCACAGGCCCTGGGGAGCCCAAAGCAGCGTGGCCCACCACTCGCTGCCCAGAGTGGAGCCAAGTCCCTCCCTGCCTGTGGCCCTGCACCGTTCAGTCTCTGACAGGGCCGGCCAGGAGAAGCGAAACTTCCTTGGGGGGAGCTGGGCTGAGCTGGGGGGAGGAGGGACTTAAAGTGACAGTGCGCTCACTGACTCTCAAACTCCCTAACACACACAGGCTCTCACACCCACATACACTCTGCCTCTCACAGTCCCCCAACACAGATTGTCACATACACACACACACTGGCGCTCTCTCTGTCTCTCTCTCTCACACACACTGGCTTTTTCTCTCTTTCTCTCTCACACTCACTTACTCTCTCTGTCACGCGCGCACACACACACACACACACACGTTTTATTGTTGTTATTACTGCTTGGTACTTCCTGTCAAAATGAGCCAAGAGTGGCTAGGGGCTGCAGGAGGGCTGTGGGCTCTGGCAAGTTGCAGTCCCCATGTGACAGCGCGAAGCCTGCCTTGAGCTGCAGGCCAAGCGCCAGGCACCACAAGCCACTGCAGCAGCACAGAAGTAAGTGTGGCAATACACCATATACCATGCCACCTGCGCTTCTGCTGACAGTGGCCTAGGAATTTGCTAGTTATAGCAGTTACTCATTGTGACGTTATCTGATTAAAACATGACCATGCAGATCATTGTTGCAACCACTGTTATATATTTGCAACAAATCTTTTACAAAATGTGGCATGTAAGATGTCTATGAAAAGGTTATGATTTGCTGAATCTGTTTATGCTATCTGTATGCGTGTATCATTTTTGTACTTGAAGTTATAAGTATTGACTCTATACCTGTATTTCAAATGTTTGCTCCTGGGGTAACGCCCACAAGATAGTTAGCCAGCACATCTTGAAGGGACTAGTCGAAGTAAGTGGCTCATCAAGGGACACTTAACTCGCAATGGACCATGGGTGATGCCCATCTACATTGAATGGACTTTCCTGTGGACATTCCATATGAAGTATAGGTAATGGCCCAGAGGTTGGGGGGGAGCCCAGGGAGCCTGTAGGAGCCAGGGGTGATGAGGGAAGGGGGCGCCAAAATACAAGTTCGCCCAGGGCACCATTTTCACTAAAGCTGGCCCTGGTTATAATGGCTGATGTATTGCAATCCAGTACTGTCCAGCTGATGTTTGTTTAAGCTGCAGTTGCTTGAGGGGAAGCCATAGACCCTGCTATCAATAAGACTGAGGTATCTGCAGTATAATTTTGATCCGAAATTGCAATGTTCAGTGGAGGTTATCTATTAAAAATGTGTACTTAGAAAATAATGTAAATATTACAGGAGTATAACATATAGTTAATATTAATTTTTTCTTACTTTAATTTTACTGTCTGTATTTATCATCAACCTCAATTACTGATTTCCACACCATCTTTTCCTCAGAATAATGGCAATCTAAAATATAAATGTCACATCTGTCAGAAATGTTATTCCTGGTGTTACACATTGACTCTGCATCTTCGCAAAGCGCACAAACTCAGCTGTCATTCTCGCTTCAGGTATGTTATCAATTCTTACCCAAAGCAAAAAATGAAATCTTTTTTTCCTGGGGGATGGGGCAGTCTCGTATAAAGGATACAGATATTTGGTTGATTACCATCTAATGCTCAATTTAGAGAATGAGGAGCTCTTCTAATAAAATATATTATGAATAGATCTCTTCTATGCAGGTTCACGTTTCAAGTCTAACAAAGTAGTTAGTGCCATTATGTTTGTTTCTTTGCATAAATTTCGTTTCCTTTAACTACCATTTCATACATTGCAATTTATGATTTGGGTTTTAAATGCTAGCCGTTTGGATTTAGTATGCATTTTTGTATTTGTATGCATGTATTCATAGATTCTAGGACTGGAAGGGACCTCGAGAGGTCATAGAGTCCAGTCCCCTGCCCTCATGGCAGGACCAAATACTGTCTAGACCAGGGGTCGGCAATGTTTGGCACGCGGCTCGCCAGGGTAAGCACCCTGGCGGGCCGGGCCAGTTTATTTACCTGCTGATGCGGCAGGTTCGGCTGATGGCGGCCCCCACTGGCCGCAGTTCGCCGTCCCGGGCCAATGGGGGGGAGACGGGGACGGGAAACTGCGGCCAGCACATCCCTCGCCCGCACCGCTTCCCGCCGCCCCCATTGGCCCGGGACTGCGAACCGCGGCCAGTGCAGGCCGCGATCGGCCGAATTTGCCGCATCAGCAGGTAAATAAACTGGCCCGGCCTGCCAGGGTGCTTACCCTGGCGAGCCGCGTGCCAAACGTTGCCGACCCCTGGTCTAGACCATCCCTGATGGTTAGATAAATGTCTTACTCTTAAATATCTCCAGAGATGGAGATTCCACAACCTCCCTAGGCAATTTATTCCAGTGTTTAACCACCCTGACAGGAACTTTTTTCCTAATGTCCAGCCTAAACCTCCCTTGCTGCAGTTTAAGCCCATTGCTTCTTGTTCTACCCTTAGAGGCTAAGGTGAACAAGTTTTCTCCCTCCTCCTTATGACACTCTTTTAGATACCTGAAAACTGCTATCATGTCCCCTCTGTCTTCTCTT